TGCTCTTCTGTCTACAGCCATCATCACCTCCACCTCGACCAGCCCAGGAGTGACGTCCGCAGCCCGGTACATCATCATCCACCATACCACTGACTGTTTTTCTGCTGCTGCTGATCGACACCCGGTCATCTACCTCATTACTCCTCCTGTATATATGTCACTACCTTCACTGTAAATAAACCTCACTGCTTGCACCGAAGCCAGCCACCTGGGTCCGCTTTTTATCTGCTCGCTCACTCTGTGTTCGAGCGCACCCTAACAGTGGCTGCAATTTCATCTAAATGTCACAGCTTTTCTCGGCTAAGGGGGATATCTATGAATACAAGGAGAAAAAGAAAATCCCAAATCTCTTGCTCTGCTCGTACTGTCATGATGTTCAGCCTGGTCAACCACGCTGAAGTGTTCACTGTTGTCTTTGCTCACAAACAGCACATTTGTTGACTGTGTGGCGATTCAGGGACACAGCAACCTGGGAATCGCTTCCAGAATTCACCACCTGAACCAGAGATAACACCATCCTCAGATCTTAAGCATTCATAATGATGATAACAAAGAGCTTGATGCCCATGAGTAATCACTTTATTTGGCCAAGTATGTTACACGCAAGGAATTTGTTTCCGGTACAGAACCGAGGAAGCCATCTGCGGTGCCAACTCACACCTGATGGCTCTATCCACATACACACACTCAGTCTAGATGCATTCGACTGATCCATATGCACAATGTATATTTACAGGTATTGCACTGAGGGTTATTAACCAGTCATATTGTCATGGGTTAAGTGTTAATCAGTGTGATGGCCCGGGGGAAGAAACTGTCCCGGGTGCGAGGGGTCTCCGCCCTCCTTTTAACCTGTGAATGACTGGTTTACATTACATCAACGCTTCAAATGCTCCTTTATGTCATCATTTAATATCACTTACCTCCACTGCACTAAACCTTTTTTTTCCTAAATAGAAATCTCAGAATTCAGTGAATTGACATGTAGTTACTTTAGAAATCAGACCTCTTGTTTCTCGGTTATATTTAATTCACCACAGCATCGTACAAATAGGCGTATTGATTTTTGCTCCACTCGTTCATCATGACTGAGCTGTGGGCACTGACAGTTGGGGAGACAGACAGTCTACCACTGAGTCCTGAACTCTGCTGCATACATGCTTTTGACCACACTGAGCACACACGCACCAAGATTTCCCATCAGCAGTCCTATCCTGTTACCCATCCATGAATATTAAGGTGATATAGCAATGAATCTGTGTTTGTGCACGCTCTAAACAATAGCAGAAAAGATGAGAGTCAACTCAGAATCGTATGTGGTTGCATTACATTGTGTTCTATTGAGACTGCTGCCAATGTGGGTGGGTGGGGTATCTCCGACTCTTCCACAAAGAAATGAGTTATGATGATGTCTCAGATCGATTCTGCAACGACATCACATTGTAGCTGCGCTTTAAACACCTCTGTGTGATGTAATGTGATACACATTTCAGCCAGTTACCCTTGTACTGTCAGAAATGACGCGTAATGCGGCCGAAAAGTGTTAGGTGAACTCAATTAAATGGCCAGACGAGGAAGTGTAAAACAAAACCGTCTCTTTATTAAGAGAACTAACGTTGAACAAAAGAAAACCATACAAGACACGGTGAAAACACAAAACTCACATGTCCTTAACAGTCCGAGGTCAGAGCCAGCAAACACATCCAACAGAGGTGATCCAAAATACGTAGTCCAGAGGGAAGTCCGATATCATACACTGTGGCAGTCCGAGACAAGAGGGCAAAGCAGAAACGAATATACCAAGGTAACAGTCCGGGTCAGAAACACAAAATACCAAAACTGAGGAAAATGCTGGAAAGTCAGAGCTGGGGTCTAGAACAATCTGGCAGCGTCCTGGTGGGAGGACGCTGCCTAAATAAAGGTGCAAACAATAACGAAGCAGGTGAAACTAATGTGAGTGATGAAGAACGTAAAAAGACCGAAACTAAGATGAAACAAAAACAGGAAGTAACGTCAAAATAAAAGCCGGACAGGAAGCAGCGGAACCGAATCATGACGTGGAGAAAAACTGTAAAATGGTCCCACAACCACTGCCATTCTGAAACCTTGTCGTAGTAAACTAAAAAGGTAAATTCCTCCTGCAACTCACAATAGAATATGTACTGTATCCATCCATCCATTATTTATACTACTTATTCCCGAATAGGGTCACAGTGGGGCTGGAGCCTATCCCAGCAGATGTTGGGCGAGAGGCGGAATGCACCCTGGACAGGTCGAATATTTACTGTATATGGTGTTAAACTTGGGATACATTTTTGAGTCTGTTCTGTTTCAGGCTCTGCAAGGTCTTTTGGTTGCATCAATAAGTTTTAACTGACTGCAGATGCATGTGAAACTCAAACTGAGCTTTTGCTAGCTGCCAGTTCATCTTTTCAAAGTCTAATCAATCATTCTGACACTGAAAAGCTGCTTCAGTCTTAACATAAAGCCGCTGGTGGGATGACAGGGTTTTGATGAAGGCTGTCATATTGTAGCATAAATGGGGGCCCTAATTAATTACATGGTAATTACAGTACAGTGAATAAAAATAAATTTTTCACAAGTTTAGACAATTCAGAGAAGCCATTATTTTAATTATCCATGCCTTATTTTCTTCCCTATCAAATTGTCTTCTCCCCATCCTGTCAATTAACTAACATGGTTCTAAAAGGATGATTATTATTAATGAATTTGAAATGAAAGCTTTTCTAGTGTCCATACTTTATGTTCTCTGACAAGCTGTTGATGTGGTGGTAGAGGTTTAATTCTCACCTGCAGTCAGGCGCAGGGCACCAGCGTGTATCTGGATCAGCGGCCAGAAAACGTCTCAGCTGGTACTCCTCAAACCGCTCCAGCAACGCCCGGTCATCCAGGATGGCACAAACATCTAGTGGCGCCAGTGTCTCAGGGCACTGTGGGCACGCAATGCCCACCCGACTCTCTGATATCTCAATGCGCAAGTACTGGCGGAGGCAGTCGGAGCACGCCCGATGAGAACAGGAGGTGAGTCGTGGGAAGCGGCAACGCGGTTGACTGAGCAGGCACAGTGGGCACTCCTCCAGGTGCTCGTCCAATAACTGCTCCTGACTGGAGGAGGACAGGGACAGGACACCAGTGGAGCCGCTGCTGATCCCACCCACGCATTTGGCTGTGGCAGCAGCATCCTCACCAGCCTCGGCCGCGGCCTGCAGACCTCCTCCTTCTCCTTTTTCTGCCCCCGAAATTCTTGATTCTCCAGCCTCTTCTGCTGTCGGGTCCAGGTCCTGTGAACAATTACAGAGCTGCTGATTCACCAAGTCATTAAAATGTCCTCTTTCTCAGGATCGGTAGTGGAAGACGTACTCAGATTGTTTACTTAAAAGTAAAAGTACCAATACTACAGTGTAAAAAAAAAATACTGCGTAACAAGTAAAAGGTGTGCATTCAAAATGTTACGAAGCTAAAGTACAAAAGTATTAGCACAAAATATTTAAAATACCAACAGTAAAAGTACTAAATATACAAAATGGGGCAGTTTACATATATATAGTTCATATTATTCAATTATATTACTGTGTACACCACATTTAATACTGAAGCTGGTAAAGGTAGAGCTAATTTTAACTACCTTGTATGCTTACAATTTGAATTACTGCTGGGTAGCCCGTGAATTTTACACCAAGGATCAATAAATCTATACTATAATTTAATAACCTCATTCTGAAAAGTAACTGAAAAGTAAGTACGGTACACAGTTACTTTCCACCTCTGCTCAGGATGGCAATAAAAATATTCTACTACTTCTCACAAAAATGTTTTATTTTGAACAATAAGAAATAAATAAAGGCAAATGGAACATCCTCATATGTCTAGTGAAAATCAGCACAGGCAAGTGTGTAGCTGGAAACTTACTACATTATCTTTGGTCCACTTGGCATCTTGGCAACTTAATTTCAAGAAATGACCAATTAATTAAATAAACACTCTAATGGGTTTGAGTGTCTATTGTAAAACAGAGGGCAAAGACAGGCAGAAAGTAATAGATTAGTTAATAGGTTAATGATGTGTGGTCATTTTAAAGCACCAAACTAAACATCTAAAATGTACAAAATGTAGCTAACATTTATATGATCATAATAATAAGTAGTACAGTAGAATGTGGCTGGTTTATCAGAGAAGTTAAAAAGGATCTTTCACAACCACAATATCCCAGTCAACTTTAAGCCAGGGAACACCCTGCGGCAGAGACTGGTCCACCCGAAGGACAAAACACCCAGACATAAACAGAGTGATGTGGTGTATGCAACTAAGTGTAGTCAGGAGTGTAACGACTTGTACATTGGTGAAACTAAGCAGCCGCTTCACAAACGCATGGCCCAACACAGGAGGGCCAACTCCAGTGGACCAGAGTCAGCAGTCCACCTCCACCTGAAGGACAAAGGACATTCTTTTGAGGACAGTGAAGTCCAGATCCTCTCCAGAGAACATCGCTGGTTCAAGAGAGGAGTCAAGGAAGCTATTTTTGTATGACTCGGTCATTAGGGGACATTGTTGGCCATCAAAGGACTGAAACACCAACAATGGGAATAAATATCTCCAGCTCAACACCAGTCAGGCAGAACTGATTAAGCCTCTTGGATGAGAGATGAAATGGCTTCAACCTCAAAAACCTAGTCCAGTTGATTTTTCCAAGTTTTCTTAGCTTACTACGACCTGGATGACTGAGAATCTGCACAGGCAGTATACACTTTTATTGAATAAAAGGTTTCCATACATTATACAGTGTCTTTGTCACAATTGTTCAGAAAAAATGTTATTATTGTCCCTTAACAAGATTTGCTTTAGTTCTGTATTTAAAGTGCTGTATCATAGGCCATCATTAGATTGATTGATTGCTTTATCAATGATTTGATGACTATATATACAGATTTACTTATTAATCAGAACACAATTAGAAAATATAGGAAATAGACACAGTAATACAAAACACAAATGTCCAAAAAAAATATCGGGTATCAAAGTCTAGATGTGGTATCAAGCTCTTCTAAAGAAACATGAAGATTCCAGAGAGATCAAGGACAAAAACAGGAGTGGACCAAGAAAATTCAAATGTTACATTTTTTCCTCACTTTCCTTCATTCCCAGACAACAGTAACGGTATGGGGAGATAGAGCCTCACCTGCTCTGGACGCTCGCTCGGCGTAAGGGTGATGGCGACCTCCTCTTTTGGCCATACTTCCACAGGCCTCGGCTCCGATTTAGGCTTTCTGCTGAAGAAATTTAGGAAGCTCAGGGGCCCAGTCTGCAGCTTGGGCCTCTTCATGGTGTAGGAAAAGAACAAGACCAGTAGCTGAGCAGGATGAGAATGTGGGAGTGTTGAGTTTGTGTATGGGCGGGTGAGCAAAGCGAGCTCTCACAGCTTAGGGTCGCGGACCAGGGATGCCTCTCTGCTGTGTGGGGGCGGGAAGAGCAGGAGAGATTGAGAGAGAGATGACAGGGAGGAGGTAATCCCTGTGCGAGGGGAACATCACTAATTTAGAGCCTTGGCAAGGTCTGGTCATGTGGTTTACTTTAACTATTCGGTCTTCTTCCTCACCCACCTCTCCTGCAGTTCCCCTGGTCTGAGCTAGTCTTGAACCAGCCAGATGCCCTTCATCATTTTAGACCTCTTCTTCTCTCGCATCAGCCCAATAACCTGGAAACAAAAATTCAAATCATGGCTAAAGTGATGGCATGTGCTCTCTGAAGGCATGTTGTCATTTTGTCATACAATATACTGCTTAACCAAAGATCCTGAATGCATTTACGTACAATAAAATTGATCTAAACTGGTGTTTCCCAACCCAGGGATCCACAAGGTAAATGCAAAGGGTTATAAGAATCTGCATGCACCCATAGACAAAGATATAAACATTATATATGGTATGAGGTTTCCCCATAGGCTGCAACAGGACTTTTACACAAAAACACAGAAGGCCCAGTCTGTGCTATGATGTTTCATTTGTCATAACATCGTCATCACCAGGCACCTTTGATATTTAACTACTCCAGAAGTGGTCCACATACATATAATATGTACTCAACTGTGCATTCACTCTCCTAGGGTTTGTCATACAGCCTCAGACATAAGCAATAAGGTCACAGCCATGAGACACAAAGAGCAGATGGATGAGAGCGTGGTGAGCAGTTTGACAGAAAGCATCGGGGGTGTGGGGGTTGTAAGGCAGGGGAGAGGCATTGATAGACAGCACAGACAACTCATTCTGGCTCCATTAGGCAGCAGCGAGCTTTCACAATCAGGCCTAGAGAGCAACGAGTGCATGGGGTGATTCATGCAACCTCAGACCAATTAAAATACTTGCCTCCGTATCTGCACTGTGTCAAATCAAACCACAAACTACAGCATGAATTACAATGATATATTATCATCTATTTTATTATCTAAAACAGTTTCACAGTCTCCAATTCTGCAATTACAAAAGAAGTTGTGGTTATGGTGTTTTTAAAGTAACGTAGACATGGATGCACAAAGAATCTGGATTTATGTAACAGTGCCTAACCTTCCTTCTTGCATAAAGCCTAAGAGTTACAGTTATATTTATATTCTAGTCTTGTACATAGATTGAAATCGAATTGCAGGATCTCTTCTCACAGCAACACAAAATTATATATGGCACTTTAAGAACAAAGGAAAGACATTCTTGCCCTTTGAGATGTTGGCACCATAAACTGATCATTAGTGTTTTTAGATGCATGATTTTTCGCCCACTGTAGCTCTGCTCAAAATAATGAGCAGAATGGCTGTATTCTGCTAAAATACAATGTGCTCAATACATCATAAAACAACAATATGGATACAAAAAGGACATTGCATACAAGTGTTTGGGTGTACTGTTGATGTATATTTAGGTGTCTGTCAGCCTCCCTTGACATTTGCACAAGACAAAATTAAAGGTCCTTGTAGAAAAAAATCTTGTCTGAAATCTCATAAAAATGTATAAGTCAAATATCTAAATGCAGCTTTTCTGTATTTTGTGTAGTTCCTAAAAACTGTGCTACACTTTTAATCTCAGTTGTGCATCTGCTTGAATTTCCCCCAATTTCCATATACCACAGGGACCTCTGGGATCCAAAACACCGACCTCTGTGATAAACACATCACTGAACTGCTGATTATTTATAAAAAAATTTCCATATATGAAGACTTCAGAAACAAATACATAACCCACAAAAAAAAGATTTTCCTGCAGTGAACATGTTGTCTTCACAGTGTATTTTTGCCTGCACACTCACATGCGTATATACACTTACAGGCACACTGACACAGAGAGAACTGAGTGTTTTTAAATGATAGTGCCACGAGCTTCAGCCAGGGTTTACTGCTCCACAGTAAAAGACAGATAGCTAGGTAATTAGACAACGCAATTCACTGGCTAATGACTTAGATAAAACGTCACAGTGATGGAATAAGTCACAAATGATATATACCATTATACTTTACAGGAGGAGTCTCCGTTTTTTTTATAAGTAATTTCGACATTAAAACTGTTGTTTTGCACGAACCTCACTTCTCATACACAGCAGGGCAAAAACAGAGACAAACAGGCAGTAACTGTTCATGTGAAATCAGATCGTACTGAACGTTGTACTGTATCAACAGCATAAGATATTTATGTACAAAGTTTTACTAGAACCACAGTCTATGTTTACCAGAGAATCACCCCAGATAGTTGATTTGACCCAGGTAGAATTCTTTATCTGTTCACCATGTAAATCATTCATAGTAGATCATGTTCTTTCTGCTCACAATCTGTGCTGAACATCCTTACATCGATGCATCATCACCATGTTAAATCAGATCATTGGCCCATCAGAAACTGCAGAAGCAAAGCCCACAGACATCCGCGCACACACAAACACATAATATTGTTATGCACCTGCACATTTGAATGATGTGGATTCAGAGCTAGAAATGGCAGAAAAAGCTTTTGGATAATGACATGGTGTTTGTCTTCCATGACCAGTGGTTGTAATACAAATACAATGAACGTCAGTCACAAGCAAATCTTACAACGTCTGCCCGTGGAATATCAAGTGCAACAACACTGAGAAATGGTGTAATTCACACTCACAAGTCCAAAAACACCTCAGTGTCAAGTCTCTGCTCAGCGATTTCAAATCCAAAAATGATGTACCAAAAATATAAACAAACAAATAAAATCCAGGCTAAAAGCTGAACTAATGATAAAATATACTTTTATATCTAAGGCATCATTATAATTATTTAAAAGTATAATAAAGCAAATATTAAGACCTTTCTCTAAATACAACCAATGGGGAGTGAAGGGTCTGTGCTCTTTAGTGTCCTCAAAGGAACTGATCACCCGAGTGATGGACACAGGTGCTGCTCTGAAGCAAACAGTACATCTTCACTTTGCAGCTTAATGGTTATCTTTTCTTGTTCTATTCTCTTGAATGTATCTGTGTGTGCACGTGTACTACACAGTGTGCTCCTGAGGCCAAAGGTACAACTGAAAATTTGACCTCCTTTCTCTACACTAAGATGCTGAAGCTCCATTGCTAGAGAACCAATGGCCACAGAGAATGAACTACAGTCTTAACATTCAAATTCTCAATGCGTCTTGAGGAATTACAGAGAATTAAAACAAAAATCTTTCTCAGAACTTTCTTTCTGTGACAGAGAACAAAAAATAAATAAAAAATACCCTTCATTCATGTGGAAATTCTAACCTGAATATCAGGTGCAATTACTTTGAATAACTGTGATAATTATTCATCGAGCTATGTGTCACATTTGTACAGACGTGTATGAGCAAAACTGTAACGTGAATTATAACCTGCAGCTACACTCAGTCCTTCTGAGAGTTAAGTAGCCACACAGGGTAATAATCAGTCACGTTGAATCAGGAGAAAAATAACCCACTTTAGTTGAGAAAGACAAATCCTCTACTACAGAGTAACTCTCTGCGGTTTTCCTGAAGGGGTTTTAATTTATAACAGACTAGTGTATTATAAAACATATTTACTGAGCTTGTCTTCTCCTGACTTGCCCATTGAATTTATAACATAATTATAATTTATAGCTGTTTTATGGATTAGTCATCTTTATTAAGTTTGTCATTCATGATGTAAATAAGGTACTATAAATCATGTACTGTACATCTGAACTTTTTGAGAGCAGTCAGGAGGAATGTGTCTACACAAGGTGGACATTGACCACTTCAAGACGACTTGAACAATGTGGCCTATAAACACGTGACCTGCTCATGCACGTTGCTGCTGCCTTTATAGCAAGTAAAAGATTCTATACCAAGAAATCACACCCTTCCAGATGTAAACTATCATTAATTTATCTACAGGTGAAGACACTTAACACAAATAGAGAGGCACTAAACAACTAGTAGGGAGTGGGAGTGATGTGTGTGTGAGACATTTGACCTGTGCAGATGGTTGGTTTGTGCCAGGAGAACATGAGACTAAATGTGACTTGAAGTGCAAATGAGCTGTTGAAATCTGGACAAGAAGTAAAATGATCCTGGAGGAACTTCTGATAATAGCCTTTCTGACATCACAAACAACTGCATGTACATTATAACTTATGGTATGGCACTCCTCCTCTTGATGAGGATGCAATGTCAGTGATAGATGGGATCGATCGTTGTACAACCAGCGTCTGCCCCAAAGTGGCTTTAAAATGCCAGACAGGAAAGAAACAGGTCCTGTCTTTTGTCTGGATTTTGACCTTTGAGTGAACTGACTTATCACAGCCTCCTCAGCTTGGAACATTGTTTTCAAGGATGACACTTGTTAACAAGCTGTTGCTATGCAATTATTGGGAAAAGAAAAGAAAAAAGACATTACAGCCTGTTTAGTTTGATGTTGACGTCTATCTCAGTGGAGGGAAAACTGATGATAGCACCTTATTAAATATCTGTTCACTGGACACAAGCCCACATCAGCAATGCGGGTTGCAGAGAGTGACCTCAGCCTGCCCACACTCAGCTCTGTACTCTGAGACATCCCTGACCAAAATATTCTGTACCATGTGGTGTTCCACACTGAGTTTTAGTGGCTTCTGGCAGCAAACAGGTGATTTTATGATATTAAATGACCCCAATATAAGGGATTATGTTTGATATGATAGCCCATTATATTATTGTAATCTATATTAACAAGGAATTTTATAACAGTGCTACATATCTTTTTAGTCTATTATAATTCACTGATCCATATGTTTTAACTTTACAGCTTAAATGAAAAAGTGCCAATCCACCAATTATTCCAATGAGGAATATGGTAGGCCAATAGGCTATATATTGTGGATGCAAGTGTACAGTAGGTTAAATGCGTTATGAAAGCAGACAAATTAAAGGCGTCCCCGTCGCACCAATAAATCAATGTAAATATACGCATTGATCACACATCAATTTTTATCGTTTCAAGAAATGTCTGTTCGGGGCATCAGTGCTATTGCAGGGAGTGGCATGTCCAATAGGCTACGTATTCGCATTTACCTCCACCTTCCTGTATCCCTTATGTACACGGGTAAAAACATTAAAAAATCCATCTACATGCATTTCAGGGTTTGTCCAGGCAGCAGATAAAACACCACAATAATTTCTATTACGTCAACGGTATCTTACCTCTTTGCACGGTGTCTTCCCCTTGCGGCGTAGAATTAACAACTGGCTCCTCCCCTCGAGGACCAAACAGTAGCACAGAAATCTCCCCCGTCTCCTCCTCCTCCTCTTGGCTCCTCTTACTGCTGCACACAAAGCGTATCTGGCCGAGCAAAAGCTGCAGAGAGGGTGGGTACGATGGTGGAGTCTGGTCCGGAGCGAGTCAAGGAGAGGAGATACGCGGAGAGGGGAGTCCTCCCCCCCCCACCCCCACCC